GTATAATACAAATGACAGCAATATTGGAAAACAATGACTGAAACATTTGGTTCGCATCAATTGATAGTGCCAGCATAGCCTCTTTTATTCAAAATATTGAATCGTAAACAAATATCTGTAGTTTTCATACCTAGGACTGACTAATATAACAAAATTATTTGACCTCTAACCAAAACTGACACTATTTGCACTTCATAATGTAAATCTATATAGCCGCACAGTAATTCATATATATTTTTAGGTCAGGAAGGACTGTATAATACAAATGACAGCAATATTGGAAAACAATGACTGAAACATTTGGTTCGCATCAATTGATAGTGCCATCATTTCCTCTTTTTATTCAAAATATTGAATCGTAAACAAATATCAGTAGTTTTCTTACCTCAGACTGACTCGCATAACAAAATTATTTGTCCGCATCAACCAAAACTGACCATATTTGCCCTTTTTATGTAAATCTTATATTAGCCTAGTAAATCAGTAATATTTTTATATCAGGATGGATTGTATAATACAAACGACAGCAATATTGGAAAACAATGACTAAAAAATTTGGTTCGCATCAATTGATAGTGCCGGGATGTCCTCTTTTATTCAAAATATTGAATCGTAAACAAATATCAGTAGTATTCATACCTAGGACTGACTCGTATAACAAAATTATTTTTACGCATCAACCAAAACTGACCTTATTTGCTCTTTTTATGTAAATCTTATAGTCGCATAATAAATCAGTTATATTTGTATGTAAGGATGGATTGTATAATACAAATGATAGCAATTTTGGACCACAATGACTACAAAATTTTGTTCGCATCAATTGAGAGTTCCAGCATGTCCTCTTTTTATTCAAAATATTGAATCGTAATCTAATTTCAGTGGTTTTGATACGTCATGATGACTCGAATAACAAAATTATTTGACCACATCCACCAAAACTGACCATATTTGCCCTTCACTATGCACATCTTATAGTTGCATAGTAAATCAGTAATATTTTTATGTCAGGATGGATTGTATAATACAAATGACAGTGATATTGGAAAACAATGACTACAAAATTTTGTTCGCATCAATTTATAGTGCCAGCATGTCCCCTTTTTATTCAAAATATTGAATCGTAAACAAATATCAGTAGTTTACATACCTCAAACTGACTCGTATTACAAAATTATTGTCCGCTTCAACCAAAACTGACCATATTTGCTCTTTTTTATGTAAATATTATAGTAGCATAATAAATCAATTATATTTTTATGTAAGGATGGATTGTATAATACAAATGATAGCAATATTGGACCACAATGACTACAAAATTTTGTTCGCATCAATTGAGAGTGCCATCATGTCCTCTTTTTATTCAAAATATTGAATCGTAAACAAATTTTAGTGTTTTCATACCTCTGACTGACTTATATAACAAAATTGTTGGTCCACATCAACCAAAACTGATCATATTTGCACTTTATTATGGAACTCTTTATAACCGCATAGGAAATCAGTTATATTTTATATCAGGAGGGATTGTATAATACAAATGACAGTCATATTGTAAAACAATGACTACAAAATTTTGTTCGCATCAATTTATTGTGGCAGCATGTCCTCTTGTTATTCAAAATTTGAATCGTAAACAAATATCAGTAGTTTTCATACATAGGACTGACTCATATAACAAAATCATTTTCCGCATCAACCAAAACTAACCATATTTGCTCTTTTTTATGTAAATCTCATAGTCGCATAGTAAATCAGTAATATTTGTATGTAAGGATGGATTGTATAATACAAATGATAGCAACATTTGACCACAATGTCTATTTTTTTTGCATCAATTGAGAATGCCAGCATGTCCTCTTTTTATTCAAAATATTGAATCGTAAACAAATATCAGTAGTTTCATACTTCAGACTGACTCGTATAACTAAATTATTTGTCCGCATCAACCAAAACTGACCATATATGCTCTTTATCAAGTAAATATATATAGCTGCACAGTTAATCAGTTATATTTGTTAGGTCAGGAGGGACTGTATAATACAAATTACAGCAATATTAGAACACAATGACTATAAAATTTTGTTCGCATCAATTTATAGTGCCAGCTTGTCCTTTTTTTATTCAAAATATTGAATCGTAAACTAATATCAGTAGTTTTCATACCTCAGACTGACTCGTATAACAAAGTTATTTGTCTGCATCAACCAAAACTGACCATATTTGCTCTTTTTATGTAAATCTAATAGTCGCATAGTAAATTAGTAATGTTTTATATCAGGATGGATTGTATAATACAAATGACAGCAATATTGGAAAACAATGATTAAAACATTTGGTTCGCATCAATTGATAGTGCCAGCATAGCCTCTTTTTATTCAAAATTTGAATCGTAAACAAATATCAGTAGTTTTCATACCTAGGACTGACTAATATAACAAAATTATTTGACCTCTAACCAAAACTGACCATATTTGCTCTTCATTATGTAAATCTATATAGCCGCACAGTAATTCAGATATATTTTTAGGTCAGGAAAAACTGTATAATACAAATGACAGCAATATTAGAAAACAATGACTACAAAATATTTTCGCATCAATTGAGAGTGCCAGCATGTCCTTCTGTTTCAAAATATTGAATCGTAAACAAATATCAGTAGTTTTCTTACCTCAGACTGACTCGTATAACAAAATTATTTGTCCGCATCAACCAAAACTGACCATATTTGCCCTTTTTATGTAAATCTTATATAAGCCTAGTAAATCAGTAATATTTGTATGTAAGGATGGATTGTATAATACAAATGATAGCAATTTTGGACCACAATGACTACAAAATTTTGTTCGCATCAATTGAGAGTGCCAGCATGTCCTCTTTTTATTCAAAATATTGAATCGTAATCTAATTTTAATAGTTTTATACATCATGATGACTCGAATAACAAAAGTACTTGACCACATCCACCAAAACTGACTATATTTGCTCTTCACTATGTGAATCTTATAGTTGCATAGTAAAGAAGTAATATTTTTATGTCAGGATGGATTGTATAATACAAATGATAGCAATATTGTACCACAATGACTACAAATTTTTTTTTGCATCTATTGAGAGTGCCAGCATGTCCTCTTTTTATTCAAAATTTGGAATCGTAAACAAATTTTAGTGTTTTCATACCTCTGACTGACTCATATAACATCCATTTGTCCACATCAACCAAAACTGACCATATTTGCACTTTACTATGGAAATCTTTATAGTTGCATAATGAACTTGTCACTAAAGTCAGTAGTTCGGGATGGTTTGTATTTAAAACAAAACTATTAAACGGCATCATCCAACACAGACATGACTGATTCATGTAATTCATAATGAAAATTATGAGAAGTTCTCTTCTTGAAATAGTGTACATGGTGTACTGTTAATATATTGTGTCGGTTAATTGATTTCGTTTGTAGCCTAACGTCCAAGGGCAAATATTTTATTCATGTTCAGAACGAGTATATTGTTCGGACGTCCCAGATATCATGTTTAATTGTTATGGATAAGTCTGTTTAAATTGACGAGATAGTACAAATGTACATACTTATACAACAGTTTTATACCTGCCAACCTTCACGATTTAGGCTTGTAACAACACCGTATCAATATCCCTATATATACACTGTACAATTTTCGATTTAACATTTGACAAAACAGAATCTTAAATCATGTAAATCCAAGGCAAACAAGGGGAATTACGATTAAAAATCCATGTATGAAATTCATAGAGTTTTATATTTAGGAAGAGACTGTTAAAAATGGGGAACGTAGCAACGTAAACCATGATGTTTATATCCCATCATATACAAATATTTTCCCGATGTGTTGGATAACCTATGTATCCGCCTCGATATTTGTACATGTAACATGTAAGGAAAAATACCAATTCTGCTACTCAGTAAAGCTATTGGAACTGATTTTTTGTAATTAATGAAAGTTAATATTTCGAATTAAAAAAGAGGGACGAAAGATACCAGAGGGACAGTCAAACTCATATATCGAAAACAAACTGACAACGCCATGGCCAAAAATAAAAAGACAAACAGACAAATAATAGTACAGATGACACAACATACAAAACCAAAGACTAAGCAACACGAACCCCACCAAAAACTGGGGGTGATCTCAAGTGCTCCGGAAGGGTAAGAAGATCCTGCTCCACATGTGGCACCCGTCGTGTTGCTTATGTTATTACAAATCCGGTAAATATTCTAATTCGGTAAGTCACATTAAAGGTGTTTTTTTAATTGTTCTGGTTTGGAACACATATACGTAAAATATTAAGATAAAATTCGTTTTAATAAAACAAATGTACAAATGAATACGAAGTTTATTTCTTAATTTACACAATCAGTTAACGCGAAAAGTAAACGCGCGTTTACTTTCAAGTGCACGTAATAATACAGTTGTAGTAAACGCCCGTTTACTTTTAAGTGCACGTAAAAATAAACTTGTGAAATCTGAAGTAAACGCCCGTTTACTACTGACTAAACGGACACAGAGTAAACGCGCGTTTACTCGGGTAGACATTTTAAAATTGCCATTTTGACCACGTAAACGTAATTATAGTAAACGCGAAAATTGAAGTTAACTAACGAAATATGTGCACGTGGCGTTAACGTGCGTTTACTTTATGTAATGCTTGGTCTGCACCAAACTGTAACATGTCGCAAGGTCATTCTAAATAACAAGCATAGAAGTGGTGAACAATGTTACTAATATCAATGCGTATACTCTATATTTCTCAGATAGCTACCAATAGTTTGTGAAGCCAAACACACACAAATTTGTATTAACTTCTAGCAAAAGAAACAAAACGAAACACCCTAGCCGAGTAAAATCAACAAGTGACTGGTTTGTTACTTAACTGTACAAATAGAAATATTGATCTCGTTTACTATGATTTTTGTTTGTATTTAGAATATGCAAAAAGTAAGACAATTTTTTTTTTGTAGTTATAGTCTATGGAGCATTAGGAATTGGAGTAACATTCTTATTCAAAAATTTGAAAGGAACTGTATTGCAGGTAAGTTTGACATGGGATAAGATTATTCTTAAAGACCTATTGTGAAGCAGAAACAGATCAATTATAAAAAAATAAAATTATTTCAAAATTTTGATAACAAAATACCAAGCGACACGAATAACGCCGAACACTGGTTAGGAAGTGCTAGTCATTACTGATACCACAGGAGTATATGCTTTCTAAAAGTGTATGGACATTTGAGTATTTTAATTGTATCATTACCATTTATATATACGATTCACGCTTTAAGATGTGAATTTGGTCATGAAATATCAAATCAAACATACAAGACAAAAATACCGGAAAAAAACAAATACACAAAAAGTTTAAGTTAAAGATATTAAGCAGCGTTGTCACATGAATCATTTTGAAATAATTACAGGCTTCGTTGAGTTTTATGGGCGCTGCAGGTGGAGCATTGAATGGATTAATAATGTTAGGAGCCTTTTTTCCATGGGCAAACTGGAAGGTAATCACACAACAGTGTATCATTATATAAATAACACATAGCTGAGAGGGTGATAGAGCAGATTGTTACCCCGAGAAAACATTGTCAACTGAGGCGACGCCAAGGTTGACAATGTCTTCCCGAGGGGTAACAATCTGCTCTATCACCCTCTCAGATAGATATGTTTTATTTAATTTATTGTACTGAATGTTCTGTTATTACTGTCGATTAAATTTCAAATTCAAAGTAATAAACTATGACGTCTTGTATATAACAACCATCCGTATTTAATAAAGCGCACACTTGATCGAGCGTCTCCGTGAAGGGTAATAGAGTATTTGCCATAGGATAGAGTCGTATTTAATAAAGCGCACACTTGATCAAGCGTCTCCATGAAGGGTAATAGAGTAAGTTAACACCCTCGTATTAGCCAATCAAAATATAGCATTTTAACGTGAAGTATAATAAAAATTATTGTCATTCAATAATTTATCTTAATGTTTTACTGATATGCGTGTATTGATGTAAAATGTAAGCATTTTCATCTTCATTTTTGAATTGTTGTATCACGTATTAACTGTTTTATTTTAACTTTGTTCAGTCGGGTTAAGGCACGGAATGATTTATAATTATATTACTTAGCGCTACGATATAATTCTGTGATAACCTATTAGAATTATGCCCCACGTCTTATATATACATGTATCATATTATTCATTAACCAATATTTGATTCTTATCAACCAATTAATATTCATTATGAATTCTGTTACTGCTAAGGTAAATGTTTGGTTAAATACTTTATTTTCCTTAAAATATTCGTTTAAATTCAATTGTATTTTTTTAATGTAGGGGGCTGTTGCTGGTAGTTTAACATCATATGTTATAACTATGTGGGTTGGCATTGGTAAATATACCGTTGTTGGCATAAAAGAGAATCTACCATTCCCAAACAGTACATGTGGCGATTCCAATCACAACAATACGGACCATATTTACTCAACAATGCTACCATTTAATGTCACATATCATACAAGTGAATACTTTACAGACTTTGGACATTCAATTGACAGCAATACAGCTAAAAACGAATTGTAAGGATACACCTTTGTCTATACAGTTTTATTGTAAGATACCTAATCACTAGAGATATTACTCATCAATGTATTTAAAAAAGAGTAACACGACAGATTCACTAGTGAGCAAGAACTGTCTTTTGTTTTGTTTTGGGGTTCCTAGTATTATAGCTTTTGTTTTCTGTGTAATGTCCTGTGATTGATTCTTTTTATTCGTCGTTTTTGTTTTGGCCATATACAATTAGGAGATGTGGTATGATTGCCAATGAGACAACTATCCAAGAGTTCTAATGACGTGGTTTTATAGGTCACCGCACGGCCTTTAACAGAGAAAAAATGACAAAATATGAAACAATTCAAACGAAAAAACTGACAGCCAAATTGATGATAAAACAATAAACGTAAAACAGACATAACAGACAGCAACCAACGATAACCACTGAACTACAGGCACATACGGGATGTGGTCAGGTTAAACATGTATATGAGCTATCAACCCTTTCCTAACCTGGTACAATGGTGTAACAGCACAACACAAAACAAACTGTAACTATCAGTTGGAAATGGCTTGACTCATCATCAGATCGGCATTGAAATATAAAAAACAAGTAACACCAACAACCAATCAATATAAACATTTAAGAGTGTTCATAGTAACTTCCAGTTAGTTCAAAGCCATACACAACTAAGGAATTATGTTATTCCAGACTAAAGTATTAACGGTACATATTCAGTTATGTTTTAATTTATCAAAAACAAAATCACTATTAGTACCAATAAAAATCTTAAGGTTACTTTATCCTTTTCAAATTGAATTGCTTAATAACCAGTAAATTTAAAGTTGTTACAAGAATTCCACACAACCAAACTTTAAAACCAAATCTATGTATATATGAAAGAATTTAATAAACATTTTAAGACATTTATGGTAACCAAAGCCATGACTTAATAATTTATCAACTATACATAGCTAACGTTTATTTATATCTAAAACACCATTACAGACACGGGCTTAGCGAACGAAGAATACACACCGGAAAAACGGGGCGAAATGAACATCACCGTCCACAAAAGGAAAATTAACAATAGGGAACGAAGAATCTTACCTCTTGTTTTAACAATTTGTTTTAGTTTTCCGTGTGAAGTAAATTATCAAAATCTAGAAAGGGACTATTATTGCTGTTAATATTTGATTTATTTAAAGTAAGTCCCTTTGGGTAAATTTGCGCAGTATGATTAGGGAGTTCTTGATTATTTAAATTATTTAAAGCAACAACAAAAAACCACCCAGTTCACATCAAGTGTCATTAAATTTGTCAATTAAATAGAGTTTAAGCGGATCTTTACTGAGTTTGTCTATAAACTGTAATTCCTAACAATTTAGGAACAAGTTTGCTATTAATTAGGCGTAATTGGTGCCCACAGGAATACCTACAACCTATCAATAAACGTTATTTGCGAAAGTACATAAATGTTGTCAAGGAGAAAATTTACAGCTCTAATTGTCTCATCACAATTACAGTTAAGTATATCTGGCATAGGTACCTTTTTTATTACAGAAGAAGGCTCTATATGAGATTTTTTTCAGAAGACCATGCAACTACATAAAACAAAACTTCTAATTAATAAGATCGTGTAAAAGTGAAGTGTTTAGTGTCAAAAAGTCATAAATCTCAACCGAATTGAAATGCCAATATAAAAATGAGAAGATGTCATATGAAGACCAATGAGACAAATCTCCACCAGAGACCACATGACGTAGAAGTTAGCAACTATAGATTACCATACGGCTTTTAACAATGCCCAAAAACAATACCGTAAAGCAAACTAAAAAAAAAAAGAAATGACCAATGTAAAACAATTTAAACGAGAAAACTAACTAACAAACTTTGTTTTATAAGGAAAGATGTAATTTCCTTTGAAACTCATTTATTAGTATATGTTAGAAATCTAATTGAAAACCGTTTACATTTTTAGGAAAAAAAAGTAGTTTTTCATATTTCTAATGAAAATGTAAAAATATATGGTGAATGTTAACAAGACAGATCTAATAAGACGGTAACTATTAATACTTTCAAAAATTTGAAAATGACAACTTCAACTACTAATTTTCATGCTTGTGTAAAAAGTAGATAAAAATCGGCAGAGGAGTCAACCCAATATGAGTTTGGAAGTTAAGGTTCTAATTAAGAAAACACCTTAAAAAATAATCGATAGTATATGACAACAACAAAATACGTTGAAGATAACTTTCTCTAATGAAATTAACTTCCATTCTTAAACACTCTATTTCAGATCAGGGTTGCATCAATTTTATAGCCTTTCTTACCTTTGGTATTCAGCGTTTGGTATGATTATTGCATTTGTTGTTGGTTTGATTGTCAGTTTTGCAACAGGTAATTTAACCAATTCGAGGTAGCTAAAGCTGAAAGTATATTTCAACTTCGTTAAATATGTTAAACTATCTGACAAAGAAATGTTGTATAACACACAATAGTATAATACATTTTAGCTGTGGATATCATAAAAACGAGACCAAGATGACATAAAGGTATTACAGCAACTAAAGCTGTAGGATATGATTCTAATTTTCAAAGCCTTTCCAAAACCGTATGTTTGCAGTCTAACTATTACTGCACTATTCATTTTACTCGTTTAACACAATAAATATTAATTTATATACCCAAATGGGTAGCTTCATTCTTATAAAGGTGTCAATTGAAATATTGCATATGAAGCAATCCATTATAGTAGCCAAGAACATTATAGACAGGGCCTTCTGTTTTAAGTATTTGTTTGAGATTTAAAAAATCAAACGAGTATGATTACTTTCGTCCAGATATACACGATGGTGCGTCAAACATTGCTAGAATTAGTATGTACGGGTAACAATATGTACTTACTCCTACACTTTATATATAAAAACTCGTCGAAGATACCTGTCTTATAAATTATCTTACCCCCTATAGTTTTCTGGGGATATGATTGGTTAAAGGACTACACGTGGGGACCACGTATATTTGATATAAGGTGTCCTAAATAATATGGGGTTAGTTACCATATGGGGTTAGTAAGGAGTTACTTCCCTTTCAAAACAAAAAAAGAAATCTGAAAGGTTTCAGCAGACGAAGAAATTGATAATGAACGATTGAAATAAATTCATAAAACAAATTTAAAGCTAACAAGTTGTTATTGTTGGCATTTTTTTTTTGTATTAACAAAGGGAAGTAGGTTCTTAATACTAAGTATTGAAGACTTAATCACTTTGATTGGCCGCTAGTCTAAATACCACATGTGATGAAAGTCGGTGGGGATTCGAGCTTCGCTCTCACCCGATATGGAATTTACTGACCCCCTTATATATCGTATTAGGTCACTAACACACCATGTAACTAATAGTATAACGCCAGATGTGAGTTTTATCAACGTAAGAATCATCATGGACCTCGAATGAAAAAATGGGCAAGGCCAAAAATATACAATCATTTTTACTGAAAAGGTCAATATACACTATCAATGAAAACAGTACAACAAAGGATGTTTTAAAAATGTTAGGCTTGCATAAAATTTGTTTTTCCTGTATATTTCCGGGTTCAGTATTTTACAAAATGTATCATAATGATATTTCTCTATATAAATATGGACTGTGATTTCTTTACAAACTGATTTCGAATAGAAGAGCTATATGGTAAGTTCACATTGAAATAAGAGGTTAAATACAGCCTTATAAAATTGTACTAAATCATTTGACAGGCATTAGAAGTATACCGATGTAATAACGGTCTGATTTATGACAAACTAATAACCGAAAAATACTTATGACATACATCAACCAATGACAACCTTTGAATTATCATCGTCTGTCTTGGGACAAACACAAAAGGCATGTTGGGGTTGATCATGTTTGTGAGCGCTCAACCCCTCAGCATAGCACAGCAAACGAAAAACGGATTAAATCATCAGATTGTATTGTAAGTGCGACACATTATTGTACATATTAGCACATATATTGTGTATCGTGATATACACTATAGATTTACCAATTTTTCTAAGTGACGCCTGATCCAATGTTGAAATTGAATAATCTTTTTTTTCTAATTTATTTTTGTGCATTCGTTTCCAGGCCCAACAAAGCCAGAAGACATTGACCCAAAGTATATGATTCCAATTTTTGATAAATTATTTTGGTGCTGTCTACCAAACAAAATCCTCGAATATCTCCACTGTGGAGTAGATTATAGTATACAGGTAAGCCAACTGTATAATGTTAATCTTAAAAATACCCATATAGATGTTAATGTTACCTTTTTAAAAATATGAAGTTTCCAATTGTTACCGTTAATTTAATTTATAATACTTCATGTCAAAATGCCAAATTTTGATTGGTTAATACGAGGGAGACAATTTACTCTATCCCATGGCAAATATTCTATTACTCTTCACGAGAGACGCTTGCTCAAGTGTGCGCTTTAATAAATACGGATGATTGTTATGTACAAGACGACATAGTGTATTACTTTGAATTTGAAATTTAGTAGACAGTAAAAACAGAACATTCAGTATAATAAATTAAATAACACATATCTAAGAGGGTGATATAGCAGATTGTTACCCCTCGAAAAAACATTGTCAACCTTGGCCTCAGTTGACAATGTTTTCTCGGGGTAACAATCTGCTCTATCACCCTCTCAGCTATTCGTTATTTATATATTAATATACTAGTACTTCAAAAATCGATAATTTAAGGTATAATGAATTGAATTTACATCAATAATTTCAAAGACAATGCTCATGTTCTACGTTTTGGCATCAGAACGTTTTCATAGACTGTCAGAATAAAAAAATACATCTTGCTATACTTTTGTTGTTTTTCTAAAAATTGTAACGTTAACGTTGTTATGTACATGACGTCAAAGTAAAGTACAAAATCTAAAAGATGATAATGATAGAACATTCAGTATAATAAACTAAATAACGCATGTTACCCCTTGAACAAAAAAATTGTCAACCTAGGCTTCGCCTCGGTTGACAATGTTTTCTCGCGGTAACAATCTGCTCTATCACCCTCTCAGCTATGTGTTATTTATATACTATTCATTGAATAATAACGCAAACACAACTAACCTGTCGAAATCACTTGAATTTTACCGCAAGCTATTTTAGTTGAGTTTTTAGTTGTGTTTTTTTTTTTGTGCATACAGTTTTTAGAATAATAAATAATAGCAGGAAACTAATGTTCGAGAAAACAAAATTAATCGTCCGTCGAAAGTTTGGTTCTCCGAAGATAATTAAAGAACCGCTTGGCCAAGTATTGTGAAATTTTAACACAATGTCATAGTCCATGAAATACAGCAGATCACGTTCGCATTTGGTGGTTTTGACATCTAGAGTTATGGTCTTAGTTACATTAAACGTTGGATATTATTCGGTTTTGTTATTATATTGATAATACCTCTCGACCAAATCTTTTGAAACCCAATCACAATGTCATGGACCATAAAATATAGGTCAAGTTGAATTTAATAGTTTTGACATTTACTGTTAAAAGTTACCCCTTAGTAACTTTAAAGTTCTTTTTTGTACGTTTCAGGGTAATAATTGAAGTACCACTTGTCCTAATATTTTGCAATTTAAATACAATGTCATGGGTCATAAAATTAAGGTCACATTCGATTTTATTGTTTTCAAAATTACCATTCAAGGTTATGTTCCTAATTTACATTAAAATTGGGTTTCATGAAGACAAATAAAGGAACTCTTGGCCAAATCTTTGAAAGTTTGAAGCACGATGTCATATATAATAAATATAGGTCAAGTTCGATTTTGATGATTTTGACATTTACAGTTCAACAGTTATTCCCCTAAGTTACCATGCAATTTTGATGTTTTTGGTGGAGGGGGTAAAGGTGATAATTAAGGTTCCGTTTAACAAAATCTTTTTAATTTTAACTTAATACTATGTAACTTAGATAAAGGTGACATTCAATTTACATTGACCGTCATAGAGTTTTTCTGCAAGAAGGGTAACTTAATTCTTGTGTGTGCCGACAACTATGCGTTTGCTTTTTCTGAACTTACTTCTAGATAAATTATCAATAATGTTCATTACATTATAAAATATTTTCACTGAACACAACTTGTGGAAGAACAACAGCAACCTTTCTCTACCAATGGACTGAAAGTTTTCATGAGTCGATCGGTTTAAAGCTGAACTCAATCTGAATTTTGAAACAAAATGGTTTTATCCATCGGTATTCTATAAAGGAAACTCTCTTAGATAAGCACCTAATGACAGGAGTAAACGTTACTTTATTTTTATTATATTGTACTATTTTTTCCTATTTTAGGAAATAGAAGATGACGAGGATACCAAAACTGAGGCTACTACCTTTGGCAGTTCTAGTAATATGTCAGCACTTGGATCAGAAACATTTGTTTATAAATTCTAATAATAGCTATATGTTTAATTTGAAATACATGTACCATTTGAACAATATTACCCTAGAAATATTACGTTAAGATGTAAAATGTAAATAAAGGTAGTTTAATATAGTTGGAATGATTTTAAAATGCGAATTGGATGTCCATTGTATAATGTTGATTGAACTGTTTTATTTCTGGAAGGAACATGCAGAAGTCGTGATAAGAGTAAATGAAGCATCAAACAATTCGTCAACTGTTGTTCTGCGTGTATAAGGAAATTGTGCAATGTGCATTGATCTTAAAAACTGGGAGGAAATGTAGAATAGTAACATTCTTTTTGTCATACTGTTTGATGTATACACTTATGATATAAAAAGAATAAGACGTAATCACATTTATAATTGATATAATTTTTTATTCGCCTTGTTAATAAAGCATGTATTGTCACGTTGAATTACAAATAGGTTTGACACAAGAAAGCACAGTAATCAATTAAAGTCCAAATTACGTGGATGTTAGCCATTAATGTTTGTTATATTTTTAGTCAAATGTAAGAGTACTTTATGTCTTTCTTTTTTTTTGATTATCAATGAATTACCTCTAAATCAATTATTCTAAAAGTTGGTACATTTACTGCAGAAACCACGGAGGACAACAGGTGGTATTAATCGTTCATGCATTGGTAAACAAGATAATTTCAGTTGTCTAGTATACAAATACCATTATTGATTCAAACATAATTTGACTTGACTCTATGTGTTACAATCTTGCATTTTAGTTATGTTTTACCATATTGCAGTTATTATTAATTAACTAATCATCAGAAATCCGGTACTTGAAAGCTGCGGCAAAATTTGAATTTTGGTAGCGTAACTAGTTTTTTGTGACCACTTTTTGGTGGAAGAGAACGTATCAAATATCCCAAATCAATTATTATCGACTTTTTAGCGCCTTCTTTTTAGTTTCGGATCCTCACAAAATATGAACGTGTCCACTCATCCAAACATTGATTGAGTTCAATATTATACCAAACTGAATTATATTTTCAACGGATAAGTGCCTTTATGAAATCCTTTATAATTTAAAAAGTCAATCAGTTTAATAAGGTGAAAAAATATATATGGGTGGACCATTAAAGGTTTCTCGTTGAAGCAGCATTTCAAGTGTAAACGGCAGTTATATTCATTAATTAGTAAACTGGTTTTCAAGGGAAAAGAAAAGCCAAAAGTTGTGACAAGTGCATTCATACTCGAAATAGTTACCTGTAGGAAAGCATATACTATTTAGAATTGGAAATCATAGCCAATACATTGACAGTGCAGCTTATGTAGCAGGATCTACTAACTCTTCCCATTTACCGGACTTCACCTGTGTGTTTACGAGTTCGTGTTGCTTAGTCCTTAGTTTTCTGTATAGTGTTTTGTTGACTTAGTTGTCTTTGTCGTTTTTCTTTTGTGTCATAGAATTGTCTCTTTTTCTTCGACTTATGATTTTTTATTGTCCATTTTGGTATTTTCTTCGTCTTTTTTTGACAAAAAGGAATATTTTTTTTTAAACATTGAATATTCTGACATTTATAATACAGTAAATTTGTTATCAAAGATTGTAATTAAAAAATTCTTTTACGTAGATTGATATATCTTTTCTATTTTTCAACAGTAAATAAACTATTCATCTCCTCTGTCGTTATTCGTCGAAATAAATGCTGCGTTCACACGTAATTCGAATTCGGTTCGCATTAACTAATTCAAATTAGTTTAATTCGCATTCGAAACGTTTAACGTCCAAACGTCCAAACGTAAATTCTAATTCGAATTGCAATGCGCGTCAATTGCGAATTGGATAATGCGATTTAGCCAATTCGAATCAATTCGAATTAAAAAAAGAAGAGTGTGTGATTCTGCTATTGTTACAATATTATACATATTTGTATTGATATAACAAATGATATCAGAAAAAATACAATTATGTAGATCGAAAAATAGAGCAAAGTATGCGTTCTTGTTTTTAATTGTTTGGAAAAATTACTGCACCAATAATTTTGGCCCGGAGATATAAATTGTCAAAATACGCATCCATTACAGTAAAATTGGTACAGTCAATGTTATTTCAATCACTGTATCGATACCTCTTCTGATGGACTTTAAGTCTATGAGGGTATTACCATCTCAGTACGGACAAAAAAATATGGATATTGTTTTAATTGAATTTACTGTCATGATATTTCGAAATATTTCTAAATTAAGGAATGTATCTTCTTCAAACATAGCTTTGATTCCTGGTTTTAAAAAAGAAGATGTGGTATGATTGCCAATGAGATAACTCTCCACAAGAGACCAAATGACACAGAAATTAACAAATATGGGTCACCGTACGGCCTTCAACAATGAGCAAAGCCCATACAGCGTTTGTTTATTTTATTGATCTAGATTAAAAAAGAGAGGTTTGACACTTCAAAAAATAACTTCGTCAGTGGTTCTCTTTTAATTTCAATTTTTATAATTTGGGTATTTTTTTGTTGATCATTCATAAACTTTATATTCACGGGCTGATTAGGTGCACCATACATTGCATAGACACCTGTCTATTGTTACAGACCGTATGTTAAGCTCAAGACATCCTTGTTCGGTTTATCTGTCTGATCTTCTTTAGGAATACCCAAGATCCATTTTTTCATCGTGACTAAAAATATTCAGTGGCAAATTTTTGAGAAAGAAAAAACAAGTTATACATTTAAAACAAATTTGCGCTGCCACTACGAACTTGCTAATTATTGTCCAGTGCCAGTTAACACCAGCAATAATAAGTTAATAGCAGTATGCCGTATAAATTACGCAACACGTCCGTTTTTGCATTAAATGTAAGGTTACGGTAATTGGTAACTGATGGTAACTAGTCTTCGACCAGAATAGGTTCAGATTAATTTACTAGATATTTTTAATTTGTTATCAGTTACATTTGGCGATTATCGTTCATTTGATAATATTTCCGAATTTCAAAACTTAATACTGAACATGTCTTTGAATTTGTATGATAAACGTCAAGCATGCATTGCAGCCGATACTACCAATGTCAACAAGCTCAATATCACTCCCTGTTTATCATATGCAAATCCGGTGAGTTTCATTCTAAGGTTTGTTTCAATGGGATTTTTTTTACTGAATTTGAAAATTCTCAATAACGATTATTTTAATCTATTATTTGAAAAAGCATAGACCTAGCCTTTTTGTTGACAAAAAGGTTTAATTTGTATTTGCCAAACGTCCAGTGGCAAATATTGGATGCATGTTATAGTCCTGAAAAGCTGGGCGTTTAGAAAACAATAATCAAACCTTTGTGTTGTGTTAAATATTAATGTGTTCAATATGAACTTGATAACGGCATTTCTCTTTTTGACCTGTTATCTATTTCTTGCGCGAAGAGATATTCCTCGTAGCACAATGCATGGAGTGGAATACGAAAAAGTGATACGAAAAATACGTTAATTTGATTGGCTTATCAAACATCATGAGACGATATTACGACATTTCCATTGGCTATTCGTTAGGTTATTGATGACTTCAAAGGTTAACACGATGTACGGGGCTCCTACAGGGTACTCCCCTCAGGTCGCAAGGTCGCTTTTAAATTCGTCGCAAGATCGTGAGGGCGTTTTTTAAGGGAAATATACAGATCGCAGGTCGTTTTTTCCAACATAGAGGTCGGAAGTCGTTTTTATATTTAAAGGATCCATTTAAGTCAATGTTGTGTCGATTCTTGTGTTATTAAACCAGGGACATATATGTTCCTGATTAAACCTTTTAGTTTTATATTAGATATTTGGACATTTTGCTGTGCCCTTGGGTTCGGTTGTTCTTGTTTTGTTTGAGGCCATCCAGAGATGGCTGTCTGTAAGTTGGAAGTTCCTGCTCTATTGAAGTTCGTGTCGTCATCTCTAGATTTATTTGTGTGTGGCATTTAATGATCAATATGTGATGTCTTCGTGCCATTAACCCATATCCATTCTTTTCCATATTGAGATCAAAACAGGACTTGAACTTTTCGATTTTTCAGAACAGTAGTTTCAACCAAAAATTCAGTATTTCACTAATCCAGCACAATATTCATATTGAGCAAGTCCTCAGAACTCTTATAAAACTACCGGGGATGTAGAGCTGGATTTACCTACTGAGATACTTTGAACACGATCTATAGACTGATGGCAACAAGGAAATGTCTTAAAGACAGGGGTATCCCGCTCGGCGCTTATTTCCATTTTCGATGGAACGCCCCCATTTTTACACAGTTGTTAGTCCATATCATGATGAATAAAGAGTACGGTACAAAATTTTATGAAGATTCGACTTGAAACTTTTTAGGAAATCATCTTAAACGCAAAGGTAAACCAAAGTGTAACTGACGAACGAACGGATGGACGAACAGACCGAAAAACTATATTTACCACAACAACGTTGTCGGGACATAACACATGAAACTGATCATCAACCTTACTTGGATACATTCGTCTCTTTGGAGTACACACAGAGACGCTAGTAGCTAGTGCCGTATGTGCTAATGATGACCATCGCCCATAGTGTCCATAGTGTATTTGAAGCAATAACCCAGACCAACTTAAATCTTTTTTAAGAAACAAAAATGGTCCAAAATGATCATAACTTGACAATTTGATAGCTTATCAGGCTCTAGAAACAAAGAAACGAAGACTTCTAACCGACTATAGATACAAAAAGGGTCACAAATAGTTCAAAATTGATTATTTGAAAACTGCATGTTGATTTAAGATGAAAATCGAACTTAACTTGTATTTTATAGTGCTAAACAATTGGCGACAAAGGACCACAAAGGAAAACATCGGGCCCAAAATGGCAAGGTCGTTTTTAGCGTGGGTGAAGTCCGAGGTCGTTTTATTCAAATTTTACAGGTCGCAGGTCGTTTCTAGAAGGCCCTCAGGTCGGAAGTCGCCCCTAAAAAGCCCGGAGGTCGCAGGTCGTTTTTTACCCTGCGACCCTCATGTACACTTCGTCCATGTCAACGGACAAATTTGGTTTCTTCAACCTGAAAATCTTTGATTCAAGGCATTTTGTATTTAACACTATGATAGTGTTACGGTGGCTGGGGTGTCTTCCTCCATCTTGGATTTTGAAGTAGCAGATGACAATTGGTCTAATTCTGTAATGAAACGTGCAAATTTTGAGAGTAGTATGTAATTCATGTGTAAGACTTTTCATGTTGATATAGAAAATAATGTGTTTTATCATATTTACGGCTGTATTTTCTAACAAACACAACATTTTTGTTTGATTCATTTTTTGTCAACTTTGCCACATAAGAGGAGATAACTCAGATAGTAGGGGAGATAACTCAGATAAAGTAATTTTTATAATAGGAAGTGTTGTGAATTTACCTATTTTAATATGTAGCAAGAAAACAAGTCCGGTGACCCCATTTTTCTTTTTCTTATCTGCTAGCATGTTATTAGAGCTATCTTCTCACATTTTATCTTAAAATTCTATGGTGTAGTTTTCTTTTTATCACACAAAATTGGATTTTCCATGCATAATCTATACAAAATCTGACAATTTTGCACAACCTGTAGCGTGAAAAAAAGTCCGGTGACCCATACTTTTTAATATTTGAAAAAAAGCATGATAAAAACTACATTTTGACAAATTATTAAAACATTCTATGGATTTTAATTAAGACCCCCTATCCACCTTAACTACAAAAAGAAATAGGTTTAACAACTCGTGAGAATTGGATATCGCTTGATATCAACTCTCGTTATTTAATTTAAATAGTAACAATGTACTCTTCGAAGGCACTTTCATTATTATATTAAAATTAAATACCTCTAGTTAACGATATTCCATTCTCACTCGTTATGAAACCTATAAAACAGCATCGGGCAGAGATAAAGATTCCATTTCCAAATTTGTTGTCATTTTCCGTCAATTTGTTTTAGAATATAATATTTACATAAATTAGAAGTGATGTATAATGTATCGAACAACCTCACAACTACAAAAGTTATAAATATTATTATGTAGGAATCCCTTATTTTTGGGGAAAAAAGCAAAATCTTTTATTTATAGAAATCGTATGAATCAATACGATTGAAGTAGAGTAAGTATATGTTGATATCATAGTGAAATACAATATAATTGAATATGGGATATCGCCTTTATAGTTTCCATGTTCATTGTAAAATTTCGTACAAAGAAAGTCAATATGATTATGAAAAATTTAAATCTATATGAATGGTTTTTGAACAGTATGCGTCGATAAACTTTATATTTATCCTGAAGGTTTTTGTTTGTTGATGAAAATCCATAATTCCTACCTATATCCCTTATATAGGTTCAATGAATCATCTCTGGAAACAAATAATCACGTTTTCTAGCTATTTCCTTGTTTAAAAAGTTCTCGTTAGCTCGAAACTATTAAATGAATCATAAAAAAATAGAGGAAATTATTACTCATATTTAATTAATTGAATAAAAGGAAATGCAAATAGTTAATTACAACTCTTTATTAAATTGAATCTTTGAAATGTCCGAAATAAGATGAAATGGATGTTTTTATTTTTATGTTTTTAGCTAATTTTGCCTGGTATCACATAGCAGCAGGTATGTGAGATAATTTATTAACTTCATTTTACGATCTTTTACCATTGATCAAATCTCTTCGTTCTGTGCATAAATATGATTCTAAAACGGAGACACTGACGGAAAGAGAATGTAAATGAAAGAAAAAGACAACAATACCATCTACAACAATAATAATAAGGTTACCAATGTTTAATCGAGACCAGTCATAAAAAATAACCATTTTTATGTTTCCAGTTTAGACATTTTTGTTGTTTTTTTAAGAAATGTCAGAATATCCCGTCTTGAACTGTGTGCAGGTTGAAACGTTAATGGATTATGTGTTTTTTAGCACAAGGGTATTCCTTGTAGTAAATAAACAAAAATGATTGAGATTTTTCTTTTCATATATATATATATATAGAGATGTTAAATTCAATTTTATGTGAAGACAAATATTAAATCTATTCGCCCAGAAATTATAAATTTTGTTTTATTTCGATATTTCAGACGACATGTTTGTTAAATCTGGAGATAATATTACACTGCATTGTTCGGTTGTCGGAAATTCCTTTTTTTGGACAAAAGATGATTTCAATCACCTTTTCGACAACCAGAAATATGATGGTACCAGAACCGTTTCTTTAACGGTTATCAATGCTCATCGTGACGACTCTGGTTTGTTTCGCTGCACTGTATACACGGGCATGGGTCCATATCTTCATGGTCCGTATCATAAATTGAACATTATTGGTAAGTAATTTCATAATTATTATGTTATCATCATCGAAACTAGCATTCAAATCCATTTTTGAAGGTAAGTTAAAGGTAAGTTGAAGAATGAAGTGCACTTATAGTGCTGTACTCAAATATATATCTAATCTAAAATGGAGGATCGTCAATACCCATATTTATAACGAGTACATTTACCATGTATCGTTTTTAAGCTAGTATATATTCATTTAACAAAACATATCCCTTGAAAATATTTGTTTAAATATAAATCTATGCCTTGTGGTGTTTGATATTTTCATTGATTAAGTTGTAAAAACTTTTGACATTCAAGGGTACGTTAATTATCTCTTTTTTTTTAGTTTTTCTTTCTAAAACCATTTCGCAACAGTAATAATTGAGAGATTTGATATCAGACCAGCATGCCTAATTTATATATTATTGACAATGACAATAAATACGTTTTATAAATTCCAATTTGTTCTATTGCATCGCGCGTTGAGCAAAAATACTAATTACAGGTTTTATGTAGTTCTTATTATCTTGGAGGTTTGAATGTGGAATCCTTTTTTTTTTTTATCATATATAAATATATATAGGTACCTCGTCTAGAATTTAGCCCAACAGTGATAGATCCGTTAACTTCCCTCAGTGGGATTCGAACCCTGCATCTGTGACATCGTGACAACTATAATGGCCAATGCAAAAAGACATAACTCGACTAGCGAAGGTATATTTATATAGCCTAGTCAGTCGAGTGATCTAGGAAGCAGGAAAAAAGTGACTTAAGAACATAATTTTGCTATAAAAATTTGCATATCTAACATTGTTGGGCTAAATTTAAGACGAAACATATATACATCGTTGTGTTATACTTTATCCGATGGATAACTCCTGTCGTAAAGTAGTCACATGTTTAGACGTATAGATACATATGTAAGCAGAAGCCAAAAACTGGGTAATGGACTTATGATATGACACTTATTTATCTCTAAAAATGATTTTTTTTTTTTTTTTTTTTTTAAATATTTCCGTTTATTGAAATCTCCTTTTAATATTTCATATGCCAGTTTTAATCATTGATCTAGATAAGAAACAGTTTATTTCGTTAATGAGACATATAGTTCTTTTTTTCCCCCAGCAGTAAAATAAAAAATTATGAGTTTAAAGAAAGACATCATTAATATAGAAACATAATTCTCTGTAGAAATAAGTCGCAAATTCAATGGTTTTGAAACTTGATATATAGAGTTCAGTCGATGTCTCCATGTCGTATATTAGTATTCCACATATTATCCTTCACATATGCTATTCAAAGTGGTACAACATTCGTCCAAAAAAGCTGGAAAACTTCAAAAAAGGATAAATCTACGACATAATCTTCTGACTAGGAATTATATAGATCTGGAAACAAAGACAATGTAGCTCTTTTATTTATGTTTTTGTTATTCTTTCAGACAACAACACAATATCTGCAGGAAGTAATATAGGAGTGGACATGAAAACTGAGAAAAAACTGTCAACAGTGAATATAGGTAAATGTAAACTCAGTCTTCCAAAGAATATATATATAAAAAAAAAACAATGAAGAATGCATTTACCGTTTTGTTATCGTTTATATATATTTTTACCTCTCTGGCGTGTCATTTGTTATTTCATAAATTAATTAAATTTAAAAGATTATAACACATGGTTAAAATTACTTTTATATATTGTATGTAGTAAAATATATGGAAAGTAGAAGTTTAACATAGTGCGCAAAAACAAAAAAAAAAACAGACCCGTCAATCAAACTTCTAACTTTCGCAGGCAGCCTAACTATTATATTTTTTTAATCAGCATACAATGCTTTTTAAGACCTTGCGATTTCTATTTTGGTTCGGTCATCCTCCCAATACGTCAATGTCAGTCTAAAGCGATGTTCATGTAGAAAGTACTCAAATTGATAACCCCATATTAGCCCGACCATGTGGTTGACATGGAAGTTTCAACAAAGAAATGTTCAGACAATACTTTAAACATCTATACTTTACCCTGTTGTTTTGATGAAAGTTATGTCGTTTTCGGTTTAATTACGACAGACGCATCTTGTTATATACTATGTATAATATAAAGGTTTTTTTAACATCAACAATAAAAAGAAGGAAAAAAACAACTATTAATCATTCCTGCTTATAGTAATGATAGAATTATAAATAGTTTTTCATTTTATGTTTATTTAGGTTATGAAGAAACATCCATTAAAAGTGAGTTTGGGACAGACATGAAGTTCATAGGAATATTTTCAGATGTAACAATAGGTAAAAAACAAATTGACGTATCTTAAACAAACATGCGTAATTTAGTCTGATCGGATATACGATGGACAAAACACTTTACTCTGAATGATCCAATAAGGCTTCACATGATCAGATATCCTGAAAATTAAAACAACGTGACATTTTGGAGCAGTTCCTTTTTTGCTGTTGTTGTAAAAATGAAATAAAAAAAATATACAATCTAGTCAGTAACTAACTTTTTAAAAGATAATATATACATTTACAATATATAAAAAAATCATTTGGAGCATTCCCAATATGGTAAAAGACATATATTCCTCCAATATAGAGAGTTCTTATGCTTCAAAGCAAGTTCAACTTTGTATACTTCTTTCGTATGACAGTAACGACACATTGACCCAATTTCGTAGCTTTGCAAATAGACTTAATACGTTCTAAGTTTCATACGATTATACTTTGGGGTTACAATAAGCTGCAAAACAAACAGTAACAATCGTTTTACTGGCATTGTAGTACTTGCGAATGTGAAGAAACAAGGATATTTAGGTTAGAAGTTACTACAACAAGCTACTTTGATTTTTCAAGGAGGAATTATCGGATATTATTATATACTTAGTAGTAAATACAGATAAATTGTATGTGTAATACAATCATTGGCAAGCGTGCTGTATCAGCCACCCGTGATGATATCGATATCAGCACGGTTGCAAAGGCTTTATCACACCTTTAATCTGTATGACGTCACGTCATCGATTACAGTCACTGTTGCAAAGGCTTTATCAAACCAATAATCTGTATGACGTCATGTCAAACCTATAATCTGTATGACGTCATTTCAAACCTCCTTACCTGTATGACGTCATGTCACACAAAAAACATCTACGTGAGGTATATGCATATAATAAAGTGTATATGATATGGCTTTTTCAATATCACACACCGTATCAACCCTCAACCAATATAATCCCTCGAGCAGAGCTCTTGGGATTATATTGGTGTCTCGGGTTGATACGGATGTGATATTGAAAAAGCCATATGATATTCTCTATTTATACAATTTGCATATTTGCTATATTATCCTTTTGAGAAATTCATTTATTAAGAACCACGGAACCTCAAAAACAAATTTAATATTTTATTTCAGGCATCATCGTTGTAGGAACTGGATTTATAATTATTGTCATAGCGACTGGTGTTTTGGCCATACTGTGTAACAAAGATCGTAAACCAAGAAAATTACCAATACGACAAACACGAAGACATTTTCTCCGAAGATCGTCGTATAATACTGAGCCTAATTTGAAAAGTGATGTCTATCTAACTACTGACCAAAGATACGAGTATTTTGAAATTGACGAAAAACTGTCGACTTGTGCGCCATATGATAATGCAGAATACTCGTACGAAGACCTAATTACTAGAAGACAGTACACATATATGCCAATAAATCAAAATATAAACATTGGAAACATTGACGGAAACTCAAGATTCGAACCTATTGATTATGGCTATATAGACGGACAGTCATCATTTGAACCCATTGATTATGGCTATATAGCCGGGGAGTCATCATTTCAACCTATTGATTATGGCTATATAGACGGAAAGTCATCATTTCAACCTAATGATTATGGCTATATAGACGGAAAGTCATCATTTCAAACACCTGATTATGACTATATAGACGAGTAGTCATAATTCAACCGCTGATTATGACTTAAAAGATGGGTCGGTGTGATCTCAATCAGTCGCTTATGTCTATTTATACTGACAGTCAGCTTGTAAACCTTAGAATTATTGTTTTTTTTATGAATAATTACCTCCAGAAAATAAAGCAAACTTCATAATTTCGATTGCCTAACAAAAGAACTATGAATTTACAGCCAATATAATATCCCACTAAAACATCTGTATCGATCATATGCTTAAGAGAAGGTTTTAGAAAATCTGGAATGCCTTACACTCATGTTGGTATCAGCATACAAAAGGACTATGAACATTTCTTCCTTCTTTCATTATCAAAACTAAACAAAACTACTTATAATTACGATTTATAGCAGGCTGGTCTAGATATTTTTTACCTAATTTCTATCTCAACTATTTTGGATTATATACACGGGATAAAAGTCTAATGAAATCATAAGAAATTAAACACATATTATTGTTTCTGCTGTTCCTCGTCTTGAAGCTTCTGTGAGGTCTTCAACAATGAAGTTACTACAATATCGTACATTGAGCAATATCAAGACGACTAACCTCTTTGGTGTTAGCATAATGCAGGCAAATTATCATTTTTATCATCATTCAACCTTGAACGAATTTTGATTTGGCTCAGATTTTCTGACAGCCCGTTAATCTAACATCACATAAAAAATAGTTTTACAGCGCAAAGTCAACATCGATTTGTGTCAATGATCTTTAAAATCTCATTTCAAAAGTTCAGATAGCGCAAAAATCCAGTTTTAATTGTTTTAATCCCTTGTATAAAAATATCAACACTTAAAAATAAGAAAATTTCCTCACGGAACATTTCATTCCATTTAGTGATGTCAAAAGTGAAAGCAGGCGGTAATAATGGTATGCCGCCATTATTATCGAAAATATAACTCTTCAGGGTATATATAGTTATGTAAACTAACAAAATTACGCTATAAAAAAAGAATTCTGATTTTAACCGAAACTTTTATAACAAAAAAAAAAACAAACAAAACCATGAAATACTTGTTACTACGAGAACAAAGTATGCCAATATAGTAGTACAATTTGAACATAGATGGTAGGGCTAAATTTCCATAAATATATCACACACTGATGGACTTTTTTAAAGGTCTTTAAATCATCACATCTAAACTTCTTCAACATTATATGGTATTAATGAATATTTACTAACCAGATTATAAATGCTTTAAATGAATTGCTTACAACGCTAATTTTGGTACATGTTGGAAATTTTAGAGATGAGAAAGAGGCACACAAACCAAAACCGAAGTCATGGGGGAAGTAAAGGTTACATTTTCCGTCTTCCAGCTACAAATTCAATCATTTGTGCTATATCAAAAACTAGGAAATTTTCAAAATTATTTTTTTGTTTTCTTCAACTGTTATCTTTCGTCCGATGAACAGTTTGATTTTATGCATAAATGTGAAGTTCGTATTAAAGATTATAATGTGAATAAAAGGATGTTTTTGGGGGTATGCCAATGAAACAGTAGCCCACCAACAAAAAAATAATCTAGAGGTCAACATATGATCTTAAACAATACTGAGTGTGTACACAGTACCGGCATGTCTAGCTTTCAGTTGCCACGAGTCTTTAATTAAGCTGAAAAGAAAGAAATTCATCAGTCCACAATAACTATTCCTGAGAGGTTTTTCACATGGACAGATTAAAAAGAGTGAGGTATATTTGATACACACGTTTTTATTTCCGAAAACAATATTATTAAGTTAAAGTATCTTAGTAGTATTTGTTGAGTGTGGTGAATTGATATAGTAAGCAGTCGGTATTTTAATGTGTACTTATTGTGCATGGCTACTGGATGATTTGTGTTTATACTCGTATGAAGCAGAATTCATAAAAAATCTTCTCAAAGGAAAAAAACCCACTTAGCTGCCAAGTTCTTTAATTTCACTTTCAAATATATTGATGTTGTCCCGGTACTTAATAACCACAATTTCAGTGGATGGTTGTACCTCATATATCCAAGGTACTGCCAAAAGTAAAAGGTCCGCGACATATCTTGATCATTTCCCTGATATTGAAACAGATAGACCACTTCAAACTACAATCTAAGACAAAAATGGCGATTGCAACTTCCTCATTGTCAACTTCCCGACTCTCAATAGAAGCATAACCACTACCAATCGTAAGGCGTTTAGCTATCTCAATTGATACGTTAAACGTTACATATGTGTTCAATATACGGAACTCAATAACTGTGCTGTGCACCTAACATAAAATCTGCCCCATCAAAGTAATTGTGAAGTTCAACTGAAAGAACAATTTCAATCGACAATACACAAGTTTTACGTTTTCACTACTTTTTAATAAACATTTATCACAAACCCTCTCATATTCATATATACTTATCTGATTGACTTGTCCTGGACCGTCCTAACTTGATTACGTTTGATTGTCCTTTTGTTATATTTTCGAGCTTTCTTTAGGATTGAATATTCATAATATTAGTATTAGCAGTAAAATACACTTGATACACAATTCATCGTCCGTGCAAAAGAATGTTCTTTAACAAGACAAATGGGAAGGAAGCAAGGGGCCTATAAACAATCCAAAGGTAACTGAAACAACAAAACTATTGTAATGTTTGTTTAGTTTTCAACGGAAAAGACCTTGTATGAACGTGAAATTGACATATTTCTATATCTTTTTGTTTGATATACGGACGTCCACAGTAGACAGGTGTTTACACAATATGCCAAGTTCTAAATCGTCCCGTGTCTAAAAGTGTTATGGATGAATTTAACAAAGACCATAACAGATCTGAAATCACGCGAAATTCTTCAAATGGAAAAAAAAGGTACACGAAGAACACTGGTTTGAAAATGTGACACAAGTCAAGAGAGAAAACAAAAAGCCTGATTAACATTATGAGAATGAATGAAAGACAATTATGTCGAGCAAGGTAGATTGTGTCGACTACGGTAAAATGTGGTATGTTATATAATCCAACTATACCAAGTTACCAATTTTACCAAAGAAAAGAAAAACGGTCGCAAATTAAATCTGCAGAAAATTCTAGGGATCAAGAAACTTTAAAACACCTCTCATCAGAATAATAAAGTTAGATTGATGTTCATTGTCAAAATGTATGTCATTTCCGGCTATGCCTATGCTATAGACGAAAAATCACATGACAAGAATTCAGTTTAAAATGCCTCTTGGTGGATTCATCTAGCCACGAAATATGTCCTTCGTCAATTAAAAGTTAAACAATTCTTCAGTTACCAATGCGTAAGAACAATTTTTATAACTTTTAAAGAAAACCATTTCATGAGTTTTTTCTCACATATTCAAATGATTGTCAACCTGTGACCGTCAATTACACACCTGGATGACACACTGTTAACTTATCCCAGCAATATATCAAAATAGTAATATTTATTCTCCCTGGCTGTTCATGGTTTATGAATCAAAGTGTAAATAAGTTTGTAAGTACACCAGTAAGCCGCTAGAATTATGAATTTACTATTTTTGATGGGGTTCGTTTTTAAGTTTTGGGGATAGTGTATGTCTTCCAGGTATCTTCTAATAAGTTAAAATTAATAAAGTGTGGTATCCTGTTTATTCATCATCAGGTTGTGCATAAATTGAGAAATTAAGTTTTCAGCGTTTCGAAAGGGAAAGCATATGAATAAAAGGAAATTTTGGGTATGCATTTTTACGTTTCGTCAATTTCTATCTGATATTCAATGTTTAATACAGAATTTAGATCTTACTACAATTATCTGTCGAAGTAATGTTTGTTTACTGAAGTTTATTTTCAATCAACATATGCATTATCAAAAGGATGACATGATGACTTCCCGTCCGTATAGTCATAATCAATAGGTTCATATAATAAGTTGCCGTCAATGTTTCCACTGTTTATACTTTGATTCAAAGGCGCATATGTGTACTGTCTTCTTTCAAGTAGGTCATCGTACGAATAGTCTACTTGTTCCAATGGTAAATTACTCGACAGTTCTTTATCAATGTCAATATAATCATATCTTGGGTTAATTGATAGATATACATGGCTACTCAACTGTGACTGGAGGTGTTCACTCAGAACATCGTTTTCCTGAGTTATATTATTTTGTGAAAATGTGGATGTTTTTGTTTCTTTTTGTCGTCTCGATCCTGATTTCTGGTTAGATATGTCATTATTTTTAATAACTGTATTTGAACTGTTGTCATCCAGTGAAATATTCTCGGTTGGAACAGTGGGTATAGCATGATGATTATTGTATTCATTCAAATGCTTCCCCTCAGTATTATCGGACGATATCGGCGGGAAAAGAGTTTGTTGTTTTTTTCGTATTAATGACATTCTTTGTTTATGATATTTATTACACAGTATAGCCAAACTACCAGTCATCAAGACAATAATTACAATTGCAATTCCTACAACGATTCTGCCTGAAATGAATTAATAAACCTGTTTTGTAAAATCGTAACATTAAAAATTTCCAAATGGGATCACATTGAGTAAAAATACAAATTTATTATTTTCCATGCTTTATATGACCATCTATACAGAGTTTTGATTGTCCCTTTTCGGTATTTTCAGCTTCTTGTTTCAGCCGAATTAACCCGGTTAATTTCTTATTATTTGTACTAAAATACTGGTAAAGAAAGCATAGATATACAACGAGTCATTGGATTCTTTACGGTTTTAGATCTATATGTTTACGATATAAATGAATTACAGTCTTATGTGACCGATAACTTTCAAAAGTATTTATCAATATACGAACTTGTGGGATTATGTGAAGAACGGTTCCTTCTACTGAAACAAGATCGCAAAGCAAATTCTGTTGTTAAACAATTTAATTTTATTGAGGATATAAAAGAAATGTTCCGAATTTTGATACGAATATTCAAATAAAAGCGACAGTATTTAACAGATGTTTAAAAACTGTCAAAAATGTATTTCATTTATTTCATACATTCAATTTGGCTTGCTGTCTTATTGAGGTTAACTTCACATATCCTTTAAAAAAAATAACAAAGAAATAATAAAACTGTGCTAAGATGTTAAAATATTGCAACAATAAGTACATATGAGCATGCACTTTTTGAATGGTTTTCATAGCGTCATCTTTTAAACTTGTTAAGGTAACAGTTACGT